AAGTGTGGATCAGGCAGTGAAGGCACGAATCAACGCGGCATGGATGAATGGAGGGAGTCCACTGGAATCCTCTGCGATCGAAGGTGCTCCAGAACGCTCAAAGGGAAGGTGTACCGGACAGTGGTAAGGCCTGCGATGCTATACGGCAGCGAGTGCTGGCCCCTGAACAAGAATCACGAAAGGCAGCTTCACTCCGCTGAGATGAGGATGCTGAGATGGGCCTGCGGCTGGACGCGACTGGACAGGGTCAGAAACGAGGATGTCAGAGCGGTCATGCAGACTGTCCAGCTGAAGGTACGGGAACAGCGTCTGCGATGGTATGGGCACGTGCTAAGGAGGCCACAGGACCACCCAATAATGGACTTCGAAGCGCAAGGCAAGCGACCGCGAGGAGCCCCAAAGAAGAGGTGGAAGGACGTAATCAAGAAGGACCTAAGTGAAGTCACGGCCACAGCAGAAGATGCCCTGGACAGAGCAAAGTGGCGACGACTGATAAAGACAGCGGACCCTGCGACTGCGCGGGACTAACGCTAGGGAGAAGAAGAAGAAGCTGGATGCGTTGGTGGCCAGTGTTAGAGCGTGGATCGTCTCCGAGAATCGTGACTTTTTTATCCGTGGAATCACCGAGAGAAAAGCAAATGGGAAGCATTCTTGTGGGATGGTGACCACGCTCCGGGGTTATTATTTAAACATGTTTTTGTTGAATAATTTTGTCGTTTTCGCTGAATAAAATCTGTTGGAAAAAGCCGCAATAATTATGCATCAACCCAATAAAAACATGACTTTGTTTCCGTGGATGTCTGGTTTCGAAGTCACCCTCAGCTGTCCATCAGCCGCCAACCACGGTCATCTTCTCGCGTTGTTATTGGGAAACATCTCTTTGTAAAATGCGGTCAACACGAAGTCAAGAACCTTTTTTTCTCTTGAAGTTATGGAGCGAAGTTCCAGTATTGGCAACCAGTACTGCTTGCTCGCGTCGCTCAGAATAGGCCGAACCCATTTTCTATCCTGAAAGGCCTTAACAGTCGCACGTAGGAACTTTTAAATTTTTCTGTTGACACAACTGAATCTCCATGCAAGTTTTGTGCGGTTTGTCGAGGACTCAATTCGTTGGCTTTCTTTATTCTCCGTCATCTAGAGCTAGAGGTCAAAATCCACGATCTTCGTCTCAGGTCCTTTACCTCAGTCTTGGAACCATAGCTGAAAGTGCATCAGAGACTAAGTGTTACTGCTCAATGTTTTGCACACAATGAGTGGATTCGTTGGCCGTTTTTCGTTGCTTGAATATATACGCTCAGACGATGATTTCTGATCAGTCATCTTCGAGCAAAAGTTTTGGCTCGAAGAACATCCTGC